ATTCCTGCTCCCAGGATATTTTTCTACCAGTAAGAATTTCAGATAAATTCTCAGTACTTTCAGATAAATTCTTACTGGTAGAAACAAAGTCAAACACCTGATCATAGCCATTGTGAGGCTTCAATGATGGAAAGTTTGTAAGGGGAATACTAAAGCAAGATAGTGGATGTTCTCCACCGGATATGCTCAGCAGAATTCCATAGGACAGTTAGGCAAAACACTTTTAAACTTGTTAGTCCAAACTTGCATATTTTCTTCTCAGTGCTGTGGAGCCTCCTTTAACGCATGTTAGTAGCAACATCCCGAATCGCCCATATTCTGCACATATGACAGAAGATTTGCCAAAGGCTTGGAGCTAAGCTTGTCCTATGCCCAGTGATGTGTAAACCTCATTTCCACAATGAATCAGGAAAAATATTTTAGGGCAAGTTCACTGGTTCAGTCTCCTGTGGGCAGCAGCCTGAATAACGAGTGATATAGATGGAAAGCCTCACAATACTCCTTTTAGTACAGTTAGATATCTATATCTATAGTTAGATAGCTATAGATAGATATAGAAATATGTATCTGGGAACAGAAAACAGGAATCCACATGTCCAATCCCCTGCTCCGGCCTTATTGGAAGGATCATGCAATGGAAACGACATAGGGGGCACATCCCAACAAGCACACATGTGCAATTTGCAGTGCTTCAAACCCATCTGAGAGCACTGTAAACTGCGCATGCTATATGTGTACCCATGCACTGGGAGATTCCGGTGTAAAAAGGAAGGGTGGGGGGGGTGCAGCATACGTGGCAGCAATGTGCACCACCAGAATCAAAGTTTGGTCAGCCAGAGCCACACTGGCTACCAGACAGACTTTAAGCCGCTGTCTTTGTTCTGCTGATGCCCTGAGAAGCCTCCAGGACCTCAGGTAAAGCTGCTGGCTACAGGTGCTGGCCCCAGCCTCCCCTACCCCACCTGGGTCAATTTACTATGCGCCAGAGCACTTATGCAGGAGCATGCCCCGAGACAAATAGCAGTGGCACAAATATATGCCACTGCTATTTGCCCCACAAGAAATGCATGCCCCTGCATGTGCACGCTCATCGTGACATGCCCATGGCATTTAATTCCTCCTTGCAGGTGGGGCAAATCATTTGATTTCTCTGTACACCTGGTCCCAACCTATAGAAATGGACTTTTACTTCCCAGAATAGCTGGAGGAGGAAAGCCAATAATGTACAAATTGTGCAGGTATCAGGACAATAAAAGCCACTTCAAGATAGATGGCAGTTCTTTGCCTCCGATTTCCCCAGGACAAACAGGTGCCCATTTACAACTGAAGTGATGTCTGTCATGACTCATGAGTCTGGAGGGACTGCCACTTGTATAATGAGCACTGCTTCTGAAGAAGTAGTTCCAGTCCCTCCAGACCTAGCTATAAATGGGTACTCATTTGGGCTGAGAAATCAGAGGTAGCTGGATATGATGCTAGTAGCCACATCACTTTGTGGTGTGTCACTGGCCTCACAAACCAGCATGCCTGAACAATACAAGTCTCACGGACCTTTGACTTCTTTTGTTTACACAATATGGAGGCAAAGGTAAAATAGGACCTAGGGCTACTAGTGACAGAAGGACCTCTAGATGGAAGAATTCTAGAGACCTGTTGCCTAGCACAGAATCCCCCAAATTTCTTGTCCTCAGTGAACACAACCTGCCTATATACAATTTCAGTGCTTTATTACCACTTGATCTAGTATTTTAGCTTATATGGAAAGTCCAGGATTCTCCAAGGGAGTTTCTGAATCCACCTAGCTAAATACACTTGGATTATATCTTCAATCTAGAACTGGAGAGGTCACCAACCTACCAGTACCATAAAGTGATCACCATCTCATCCAGGCAAGGATCAGAACTTCCCGTCTTTTCTAACAGAGAAATGAGAAATCAAAACTGGCCAACCTCTACAAAGCCCTCAGTTCCCTAGGGTTTCAACACTCAAGCCACCAAAACTCAAGGCCAAGGCACCAATGAATTAATGCAACAGTACAGTCGACTGCTGTCCAGTACCACTTGTATCCTGACCCCAAGCCATTCACTCTCCCTCATTCGCCAAGATCACTGTGGTTCACAAACTAAGTCAAGTAAAGGGCGGGGCAGAAACAGCACAAACACTCCCAGGGGGTGCTGCTAGAGACCTGGTTCTCACTATGATTTTGTGGTCTGGCAACTGTTCATCTGCACGGCTAGGAACAGCAGCCTAATGTTAGGAACAGCAGTCTCAGACTAATGTTAATGCAATGTGGTAGTCGTGGTGGATCCAGACCGGGTGTGGTGGTCAGTCGAAAAGCCTCCCTCTGCCCCCTTTTGGACTGGACTGTGCTGCTGAAGCTGCTGGGGACTGGTCCCCAGAGTGGGAGAGACTCCCCACTTCCCCTCCCTGCTCAGAGACACGTCCCGTCCACTCCCTCCCCCGCGACGCTGCTTTCCCCGCTGTCCCCGGGCTGCTCCTGCGGGCGGCACCGGGCCTGCTCCCGGGACAGGCCGTGCGGGGACCCCCCCAACTCCCCGGGGCGGCCGTGCCCCGCTCCGCCCAGCCCCGCGCCACTGGCTCAGCAGCAGCTCCGAAGCATCTCCCGCCCTCGGCACAGCGGGGAAAGCAGCAGC